GAACGCAAAGGTATCACGAGGGAACGCAAAGGTATCGCGAGGGAACGCAAAGGTATCGCGAGGGAACGCAAAGGTATCGCGAGGGAACGCAAAGGTATCGCGAGGGAACGCAAAGGTATCGCGAGGTAACGCAAAGGTATTGCGAGGTAACGCAAAGGTATTGCGAGGTAACGCAAAGGTATCGCGAGGGAACGCAAAAGTATTGCGAGGGAACGCAAAAGAAAAAAATCCTCAATGTCCCGTCGCGGGCTCCGTACTAAACAAGAGAAAAAAAGCTAATAAACATATTTTATTTAAAACAAACGTGTGTGGTACCTACAGAAACATCAGAATCTTTAGCGGAAGCGAATCGTTCCGCTAATGATTTCCAAGGTTAGCAAAAATGCTAATCTGCTAAACAAAATGTTAGCTTTGCTATTAGCTGCTAGCGAACTGGCGGAGCAGTTTCACCACAGAAGTTGTTCAAAAATAAAGGGGCAGCACTTTCAGCAGGAGACTCACCATGTAGTAACCAGGAAGCAGCTTCTGCAGGAACTCGGCCTCTTTGGGCTGCACCGTCTTGATGATGAACTCGTCGTCGCTGGTCAGGTAGAACCAGGAGCTGCTGGCCCCGGGGTTGGACAGTTCGATCAGCGGCTCGTTACAGAAGGAGTACTGAAACACAGCGGAAGACCTGCGTCACGCGTGGCTGGACCCGCCGAGGCGTCGACCCGGCCCGTTTCTCCGCACTCACCAGGTAGTCGTCCGGTTTGATGCCGAAGAGTTCTCTGAAGTAACGGAACGCCAGCGGGGCGTACGTCTTCAGACGGAAATCAGGGAAGTGATGCGCTGGAGTTAGGGTGCTACCCTCACTGAGTGCATAAAAAATGATGCAAAACAAACATTATTTTATTAAAAGAGACCTAATGAACTTACGTGTGTGCGTACCTGGGCAAGAAGACGGACTCCACCACAGAGAAGTCCTGCATGAGGACGTCTCTGTCAGGTTTGGAGCTGAGGTTACCGACAGCATAACCGATGCCCAGCTGGATGGCTCCTTTCAGTGCCTCAGATGTGGGCTGGGAATTTAGAAATAAATAAATAAATAAAATAAAATAAATTTACAACCTGTTGTTGAATAATTAATCTTCCTATACTGACATTTAGCTTACACTGATATTTAATAAATTGTGCTAAATATAGGTGTTAGCTTGCATTGACATCAAGCTAACCATGTTAAACATACCTTTAGAGCTGCTACCTTACACTGATATTTAATAAATTGTGCTAAACATACATCTTAGAGCTGTTAGCTTATGTTAATGTGAAATTATCTTTGTTAATTGCATAGCAATTACTGGTAGCTTACATAACATTAAGCTAACAAAGCTAAACACACAACTATAAGTATTAGCTTACATAGACAATTAGCTAATCAGGCTTTACATTGACATTTAGCAACTGTGCTAAATGTACATGTTAACATACATTTGGTTAGCTATGCTAAAATGCACTGCTAAAGTTGCGAACTTACATTTACATTTTGCTAACTATGCTAAAATGCACTGCTAAAAATGGTAAATTACATGGTCATTTGGCTAACTAAGCTAAATTGCACAGCTAAAGTTGCTAGCTTACATTGACAATTGGCTAACTAAGCTAAATTTCATAGCTTAAGTTGCTAGCTTACATTAATATTTGGCTAACTAAGCTAAATTTCATAGCTTAAGTTGCTAGCTTACATTGACATTTGGCTAACTAAGCTAAATTTCATAAAGTTGCTAGCTTATATAGAAATTTAGCTAACTATGCTAAATTGCACAGCTAGCTGCTAATTTACATTGACATTTAGTTAATTGCACTGCTTTACTTGGTAGCGTACTCTCAAACTTTGCTAATCATGGTCATCAATGTTTTTTTTTTGCTAATCACGCTAAATGCACTATTAGTTTCAAACTSAGCATTAAGCTAACCATGCTAAACACACAGCTAAAGCTACTACCTTACATTGACACTCATCTAATCATGCTAAGTGCAGCTATATCTTTATGTTGACAATTTGCTAATTGTGTTAAAATGCACATGTAGCTTACAATGCTATTTACTTATTTGTTGTCCTTAACGTGTGTGAAAATGCAGCACCTTATGATGATGATAGACTGTTTTAAATCCTGAATTTCAGACGTTATAAGAATCACTGACTATGCTAGCTGCACTTTAACTTTGACATGGAACTTAACCTGACCTCGGAACAATACAGTAAATAAGCAGAAGTTCTTTACCATGTTGTCGTTGCAACAAACAGCGGTGGAAAACCAGTTTTCAGCTTTGTGTTGTTGGACTTCTGAACTTAAAATACAACGTAAAATAAAACTTAAACAACATTAGCATCATTAGATGCTCCACTAAAACTGTCACTGATGTTTTGCCAATTAGACCTCATTATAGTGAATTAATTTGTCAGTAAATATTAATTAAATCAAAGCAGGCACTTTTGTTGATTTTTAAGAAACATTTGACACAAAACTATCAGCCTGGTTAAATTAGTAGAAAACATTTCAGGTGTTTTCTGATGGAGCCGACGCCCTCGTACCTTTTTGTGGTGCTTTGAGGCCTTGGTTCCTCTTCCTCCTCGGTCCAGGCTAGTCATTGACATCTTTTGGACTGGCAGAACTCGATCAGGGGGAAACTCGGCTGTCCTTCCTCCCAATTTAAAAGGTTGAACCGCTTCCTGTCTCCCCCCCACCACTCGGCAGGTTTCACAGAAACTGCATCTCCCAGGTGTGTCGCTCCTGCGGGTTGGGCACAGACAGCAGGGTCACATTTGAATAAATGTGGATGCAAAGCATGCGAGCCGACGGGTCATTACTGCACTTGTTTAGGCTGTCCTAAACGCTCTGTCCCGTTCAGCTTCTCTGCTCGGCTGAAGCTTTGGATCCGTCCTGTTGGAGCTGCTGCACGCTTCTGAGGGATTTCTGGTGTTTTTGTGAAACTTGAACCCAAGAATCCTTCATCCTAATTAGGACGGATTGTGAAAACCATTAAATCCATCGTCTTTCATAACAACTTTACACCCTCACCTGCCTAAAAGTTTCACCAAACAAAGGCTCGTTTATCAAGGAATTACTTTAGTCGGATTTTTGTTGTTTGACGGGAATTCACTTATTTGGTTTTATAAAATGTTCTTTTTCAGATTTCTAAACGTAAAAATCACTCCAGAAAGTCCTTTTCCTCCCTCAGAATCAATGGGAGTTAATGGTGTGACTGTAGAATCAGGAAGTCGTTCAACTTTTAAACTGTTTGTTCTGTTATTAAAACCATTTATTTATCAAATGGCAGCTCAAAAACAACTCACTTTGCTTGATACAAAACTTGAGGTACATGAACCACAGCACAGTGATCCAACAGGGAGGTGAAGACAAGACACAATATAAAGGTGAGACTAATGAGCAAAAACAAGAAACACCTGGGAGAGAAACATGAGGATCAGGTGTGAGTGGGCGGGGCTGGAGCAGACAGGTGGAAGAAACCAGAAGACAAGACAGAAAACTAGAATAAATCATAAACACAGACACCTATCATAACAATTATTTAGTTTTTCCTGATAGAAACACATGAAGATTGTTTCAGTTCCTTCAAAAATATTATTTTAAAATCAGCAGTTTGCTCTTTTTATATTCTCTTTTTTTATATAGCTTCTTTTAGCTTCCAGCTAGCCTTTTGCTACTTTAACAACTAGCAAACCTTTTGCTAGATTGTATATTTTAGCTGGTTTATTGCTTCTTTTAGCTTCTAACTAGCCTTTTGCTAGATTAGCATCTAGCCAGCCTTCTACTAAGTTGTTTATTTTAGCTGGTTTATTGCTTCTTTTAGCTTCTAACTAGCCTTTTGCTAGATTAGCAT